CTAACTTATTGTGAGTAGTGTATCACTAAAATTTATCTCTCGTGATATTTTTGATTCTCAGAAACACTAAATCGATTTTTGTGTTTAAACCCTCAACAGCTGATAGCAGTGTTGTAAACTGATCAATATAAATGCAGATCTGAGATCAGACACTGTTCTGGTTGCATAACAAATTTTTAAAATGAGAATATATCGGCGTGTTTACAGTATCGCTATATTGAATGTAACCTCTGTATCGAGGTATGTATCGTACTGGTCGTAATACGTCTTTGTGTGACCAGCCGCTCACTGATCAGATGGACTGATGCATGCATCAATAATCAATATATCTGTGGCTTATTGATCATGTGATGAGAACTGAAGTAAAGCATGTTTGTATTCATGTTATTCTGTCATTAAAGTCCCCACAAGGAGCTTTCATTTTGTGTTGATTCTGGCGCCTCCTGTAGACTAAAGAGTTTCTACCAGCGGTGGACTGATACAGATACCGATTATTAGTAATCAATGAAACACTCAAGTGCTGTTACGACCTCAGTTGTGGGGTCCAGGGGAAGAGAGGAGTAACAATAATTTTACCGGGCGTTTAAAGAAGGGCAGGAAACAGAAAGATTTGTACTTTTAAACTATTTATTTCAACATAAATTAGATCAAATGCAAACACAAAACAACTTCCTAAAAAGGAAGGAAGTGAAAACACATTTAACTAAGCAAACCACGGATACAATAATAAATGACGCTATCCCTCCACTGAGGTAACGGTAACACACGAGACGAGCACCACACAGCTCTGCTTTTCACCCGACAGCGACACGACTCTATCTGGTGGTTTTTGTCCCACTGGCCCCGTCTGCTTCCATCACAGCAGCTTTAAAGCAATCGTCCTGATTGCTAAGCTACTGCAGGTGTGCCTGACCAGTCGGAGAGGGGGGGCGGTACCTGGAACAGGGCACAGACAGCAGAGGCAGAACATACACACGTAACAAGTACTGTCAGCAAATGAAAGGATGAGACGTTTTTCAGGTTCTGTATCAGTTGTTTAATTTCTAAAATATCAGTTTACATGTCATTATTGTCTGTATATTGATCATTTACACAAACAAAGATATGAAGGATTCATTCAAAGCTGCAGAGGGAAGATTTACAATCTGTAAAGCTGATTGATCAACCAATCAACCAATCACCTGAAGGAGAACCTTTAATACATACAGTATATTTCACTTAACTGCTCAGTTTAAAACTTAATATCTCTCAGATCACTTTATTATTCAAAGGTTTAAAAGCTGCTGTTTTCAGCTTTGGTCCAGAATGAAATGTGACATTTAAAAAATACACACAAACGTTAAAACAACCTAAATGACCTCAATCTGGTAGATTTTAGTCGACCCTAAATTTGAACACTTGAGACGTGGCCACTGAAATGGTTATGTATATGTATGTATAATTCATTAAAAACCGAAGTTAACTGGTTCCAGTGAGAAATAAACAGTTCAGCTCAACGTTTACCTTATGTGATCAGTAAAACCCGCAGGAAGATCGACTAACTGTTGCGATCACCCCTTCCTAGAGGGGATGACAGTCAACAAACAAATAAATATATAACTGTAAAGGTGCTCGACGTCAACTTCTCCAAATATCTTACAACAACCTTTAACAGTGAAAACACGTCACTGGAACTAAAATCTGTGGCGGCGGAGTGGATCTGCTCGTCAGGTAAATGAAAATGTTGGTTTTCCTTCATACGTTTGGGAACCTTTTTGTTTGTGAATCTTCCCTTTAAACATTGAAGCTTCAGCAGCAACGTGAACGGAGAGTTAAACACCAAAATAACAAAACATCATGGCCGACATGTTCCAGATGTTTCCCCTGAGAACATTCAGCTGTCTTTAAAGGTCCAGTGTGTGGGATTCAGCGCCACCTAGTGGTGAATCTGCAGATTGTAACCAACTGAATACAGCTCAGCCTTTAAAGCGTGTGCACACAGCGGCAGCAGGAGGAGAGCTGGAGTTCCTGAAGTTCACTGATTAATGATCAGTAATTATTTCTGTTTGCATAAGGGAGCAGTTTCTATCAGTCAGTAAACTGATATCTGTATTTACAGTATATTTCATATTGATCAGCTATCAATAACAGCAGAGAACAGCTGATCAACCCTCACTGATTTTCTTGCTAATTTCAATAACCCGGGAACAGTGAATTCTCAATAATTGCAGGAAGTTGATAATATATTTCCTGTGAACTGATTGATCAGAGATGAGTTTTACGGATACATTAGTGTAAATGAGCAGCAGAAGGTAATTCAGCCTGTAGTTAATGTACTTGTACTGTATGTGTGTGTATGTGTATGTGAATATAAATAGCAGTAAGTTTATGCAGATTCCTTTAGTCTGTTCTGGGCTACTGTAGAAACATGGTAGACGTCTCATTCTAAGGTAACAAACACACAACGATTCCTATGAATATTATATTCCAGTAATGTGACACACTGGAACTTTAAAGTCCGAGTTCTCAGCAGTCGAGTGAAGAACTGAAAGTTCAATTATTCAGCTTATTTAAACAAACCAAACCTGCAACAAACCTTTGTTAAAAATACAGAATAAATATTGATTAACAGGAATACATGAGATATATTTCTGACTACGTTTGATATGAAGGTTAAAATGTGAATATCTGATGCTGTATAAATAGATTGTGTGTGTGTGTGTTTTGTGCATCGAGCAGAGAAACTGCTGCAGCTTTGAATTGTTGTCGGATCAAACTGAAGCCAGAAGATTCACCTGAGAGCCAACGACAGGAAGGAAGTGAGGGGAACAGACCGCCAGCATAAAACAGCAGACAATCAACAAACTGGGTGAGCTGAGAGAAAGACCTGAGAGCAGGCAGCAACAGAACAATGAACCGCTGAGAGTTTGACATTGTGATTATTTATGGCTTTAAAGGTTTAAAGGGAAGAAAGACAGAAAGAAACCAGAGAGAAAGAGACTGCGTAAGTGCTTCAGGTGGAGGTGGTTTGATTTTTAAAGTCACAGCAGTGAGAACTCTTCCTTCTCCTCATCGTCACCATCACTGACCTCCCTGAGCTCCATTCTCATCCAAAGCATTTAGATTTCATTGATTCAAATCAGCGACTTGTTTGAATATTAAACTATATTAGTCATTTATTTAAAGGTTACATATGAGACATTAATATATCAGCTAACATTATATTCTCTATATAAAGACACAGAGTCACATGGTGTCTC